GCATTTTAGAAGAGGTAGTGAACAGGTTTGAGTTTCAACATTTCAGAGCAATTTCATTACCGAGAAGATAAATAGAAGCGCAGAAACATGAAATGACTTTTCACGTATTTTGCTGTTACTCCCAGCTTTAAGTCATAGGGTGTTTTTTTTTAAAGTTTGAGGAGTACTTGGCCCTTTGCACATATTTAATCTCCTACACAGTGGTGTGACTGAGTACAAGTTTCTCTTCATTCTGGAGATTTTCATGCCTTGTGCAATAGCTTCCTGTTAATTTATGATGTCAAAGCTCTGCTCTAGTCACCTTAATGTTAAGTTGTCTTAAAAATCAACTGACATGCCCCTCCTTATCTGATGGGAATGGCACGGTATGGCGTCCTCTTTAACCCTCTCCATGCAGCCACAGGAAGCGACAGAGTGTGAAGCTGCTGTTACAAACTTTGCGTGGTATCAGGAGAAGAGGTTTCAGCCCATATTTAACCCTCTGAGGCCGAGGGAGACGCGATCTCAACCCTAGAGGAGTTTTTGCTCGTGCTGCCATGGCCATTTTTGTCACATATTATCTTCTGCCTTAAATATGCTGGCTGAACTTTTTGTATCGCAACTCTCTTCAAAGCTCTGCCTTTTTTTTTTTTTTTTTTCTCCAGTTTAAGAGATCATTTTGACATACTGGTAATAATTACCTCAACACAAAAGCTCTGCCTCCAAGCCCCACCTTCCTAGCACCACACTTCACTGCTCCTCTCCACCTTCACACCCTGACATCTGACAGTGTCGGGTCATTTAGAAATCCTGGCTGCCTTTGAAGTTATCTGATACCGGTGTTATATTTCTTTTACCTCTGAGGGGATTGGGTGACAGCCTTTGGGAAGTCAACATGTATCCTCCGTGCAGCCGGCTACGGTCTCATCATGTTTTCTTTAGATCTTAGATTATTCCCCTTCTTAGCAGACAGGTGACTGTGAAGCACTGCTAGGCTGTTTCTGTCCCTCTGTATGAGACCGCTGTTAGTGAGGAATGTCAGTCCCTCTTGCCACGTGGTAATGTCCCTCACGAGAGAGGCTGATGCTCTTTCACTTCAGGTTCAACTCCAAATGGAACCAGGGACCATCTGCACCCCTAATGTCCAAAACGTGCTGAGCTACACGGTTTAGCTAATAGTACCCAGCTCTGGGATTGAGTTTTGCTGCTGCTTTGTTTTTACCAAAGCAGGTGCTATTTCTGCAGTTGCAGGAGTGTGGCTGGAAGCCCCTTCTGGAGTGGTGTTTAAGTTGCAGAAGCACATCTTGCCTGGCTTCTCCACGGCAACCACGCTTCCCAGGTAACTTCTGGGCTCTGCGATTCGCAGCCGCGATGCCACCTTCTTCCATTTGATTTGTTCCTCCTGCTGCTTGCCACTTCCTTTCCTAAAGAAAGGAGGTTTATGCAAACGTTGGGTAGTGGGGTTTGTTTGTCACAGTCCCCCAGTATAAGCTTGTCAACCCTCTTGACCTATTTCAACCAAACCTAACATAGACGCAGAGCTTTTGGAAATAACAATGCCTGTCAAGTTTCACGGCAAACAGTATTAGAACAGGAAAAAAAAACAAACAAAAAACAACCTTCTAAGTGATCTACTGGGCCGAAGGGCAGAGAAAACTCGGCCCTTATCAGTGCTGTTTGGCTTCTTTGGCAGCAGAGGAATGGTGGGCAGCCATCCAGGCAGTGCACATGTAGCCTTCAACCAGCCAGAGTGTGTGCTGCTCCGTGCCCGGCCAGCCAGCCAGTAAAAGTAGGTTTGGGACACAGAAGGCAGCTTTGGATATATCAGAAGTCAGCCTCGGGGAGAGAAGAGGAGAGGGGGCTGTGGATTTATTGCAGAGGAGAGGCGATGGGAATGCTTGACACAAATCCATAGAAAAACTGAGCTTAATTAACTCGCTGTTCATTGCGGGGGGGGGGGGGAAAAACAAAATAATCTCTCTGAATGCAGTGAAACCTTCATAAAGCAAGTGCTGTGCTGGCTGAATGGCCTGTTATCTGTTTCCAGATGCAACATGCCTGGAACACCTCCTTATCTTTCAAAAACATGATGGTAATCTGTCAGCAGTTCTGCATTGTCTGCAGCGGGTATCTTCTCCCTTTTACGTTAGCATTTATTTCACAACCGGCTTCAACCTCGAACTGATGGAACTGGGTAAAAAAACACCAAAACAAAAAAGAAGAAAAAAAAAAAAACCAAGGAAATCCAAGGAGAGACGAGGCAAGAGGGAGACTCCTGTGAGCCCGCATCTATCATTCTGTCAGTGGGGCGAAACGATAGGAGAGGAGGTGCCTCACCTGGCTCCTGAGAAATACCCAGCCTGCTGAGATGGGACAGGTGCCCAACAGGCTGAATCACAACTCAGGAACTGGTGCTTCAGCCTGGAAGAGGAGCACGTCTCCAGGCAGCCAGCTGTCACCTTGGTGGCAGATGGGACCTCAGGTCTGAGAGAAGCGGCCTGCAGCTGAGATAGGTGGGGTAGGAGTAAGGAAAAGTATCAAAAAGTGGAAGCAAAAAACCCCAGAGCACCTCCAACAGATTTACAGCACAGCAGGAACCAGCCTTTTCACTCCCCCCCCCCCCCCCCCCCCCAAAAAAAAAAAACCAACCCCACCATTAAAGTCCCATCTTGTGGCTTCCCACTCATGCTTCAGGGAACCCATGGAGCATCACCTCGAGGATCTCTGCAGACAAAGCAGCAATGGGTCTCGCAGGCTGATGCTTCCCCAGTCACCTGTTTGCAGGCAATGGGCTCTAATTGGCCTGTGGTGAGCTGGGGCGTTTGCTCAGGTGCAGGAATCGGGTTATATTACAGCATTACCACACCACAGGCCCTCATAGCCGTGAAGGATCTACCGAAGGCAGCCACTTAAAAAAAAAACACCAAACCCCAAAACCAAACCAAGAACAACATGAGGGGAAAAATGTTTTTAAGAGCCACTGACAATGAAGGGGGGCAGCCCTGGCACCGTGAGGGGACGCTGGCAGCCCCGTGTGGTGGTGTGCTCTCCCTGGTTTGCCCCCCCCCACTCCCTATCGGCTCCTGCCCGGCCTTGGCCATCATGGCCATCACAACAGCAGTGATAACTTGTACCCGGTTTCTGGGGCATGGCTGGCAACATAGTCAAAATACTGTCTGGAATGGCGACCTAGAAATTTTTTGTTGCCATGAAAATATGACTAGAGGTCAATTACCTTACAGTATAAATAGTGGACAGCCCAAGAGCCCCTTTGAGCATTCCTGTACTGCAGCGGGTTGCACTCCAGGATCTCCCCTTTGGTGAGGACGCTCGCTGAAGGCTCTACTCCTCGAAGTTGAGAGATTCCTTGCCGCAACAAATTCCCGGTTCTACTCCTCGAAGTTGAGGGAATCCTTGCCGCAACTGAGTTTCGGTAAGTGACTAATAGCGTGCTAAGCTTTGAAATTTTACCTAAGTAATGTAAAGGATTAATTGTGCATAATTAATCCTTTAGACATAAACCGTTGACCAAGTCTGGGACTAGGATTGGATCCAGCCGCACCTAGACTCCTCTCTGAGAAGGAGTTTAGAAAGCAAGGGGGTCCTTTCTGAACCTCATGACTCAACGGGAGGGTCTCCCTGACAGTTCTGTCTGACCCTGTCCTCTGTGCAGTAACTAATAGAGTGTACCCTGACATCGAATCTCGTAAAACACTATCGCATTTACCACTGGTTTTATTGCACTTACTAGTGGTTTTGTTAAATCACTGTTTCACCTTAATACATATTTCTCTGCTTCACTCTAACTAGTGAAGTTAATCACTCCGTCCACGACACCCCGAGGCTGGGCAGGATGCAGGGTGGCCTTGTCTCAGCGACGCACCTGAGGGGCCGTTGGGATGGCAGCCTGTCCCATAGCCTGAAGCCGTACCTGATGGCAGGAGATGAGGCCTCGAGAGGCTTAAATCTGTTCTGGGCTGAGGTGAGGGGACAGGGAGCAGGGCCCTGCCGCCCTCAGGCCGTGGCTGTGGGGATGGAGGGGCATCGTGTAGAGGGGATTGTAGGTTCAGGCTGGATATTAGGAAAATTTTTTTCACTGAAAGGGTTCTCAGCCATTGGAATGGGCTGCCCAGGGAGGGGGTTGAGGCACCATCCCTGGAGGTGTTCAAAAGATGGGTTGATGTAGTGCTGGGAGGTATGGTTTAGTGCTGATGCTCCTTTTTTGTTGTGCGGGTGTCTATTTTTGTCAGTTAGGTTGACAGTTGGACAAGATGATCTTTAAGGTCCCTTCCAACCTAGAAGATTCTGTGATTCTGTGGCCCTCAGGGGCTGCCACAGCTCCCACCCCACACCACCCCTCTGAGGGGAGAGGATTCACCTTCCCTCCTCCATGGAGCATTTTAACTTCCTTTTCACTGAATTTCACTGAATTTTTAGAGTTGGAAGGGACCATAGAGATCATCTAGTCCTTTTTATTCCTTATTTATTGGCCGCTCGAGGGCAGGCGGTCCCTGAGGGAATGAACGCCTGGCGGGAAGCAGCGCACTACTTTTTCTCAGCTCCCACCCGCGTCCCGCGCGGAAGGTTACGGGACGACTCTCACCCCCAGCACTCGCGCCGCCAGTGCGGCTGCGCCCCTGCGGCTCATCCAAACCCCCGCTCCGCATCGCGTCCCCGATCAACCGCCCATAGCGGGGAGCCTCCGGAGAGGAGTGACAGCCGGCACAGCCAATGAACGGTGCCGCCCCGCCCCCGCCGCGCGCGGCACGCAGCCCCGCCTACCCTCCGCCGCGCGTCTCGCCCCTTATTTTTTTATTTTTTTTTTTTCCGCTGCCGGCACCCGATTGGCGCCTCTATCCGCCAATCGGCGGCTGGGTCCGGGCGGCCGCGCCAGCTGCCCAATCCGCCCCCGCTTTTTCTCAACCGACGGGCGGCGCAGCCAACGCGCAGCCCTTCTCCTCCCACCGGCGGGGGCGGGGCGCGGCGTCAGCCAATGGGCGCGGGGAGGGCGGGCACGCAGGGGGGAAGGCAGCGCTGAGGGAGGAGGGCGGCAGCGCAGCTCGCCGAGGAAGAGGTTGGTCCCGGGGCGGTTTCGGCGGGCGGCCCGGCCGCGCCGCCGAGGGGAACGGGACGGGAGGGCAACCGGGCGGCCGCTCGGCGGGAAGAGAGGTGCCTCACCGGGCCGTGCGGTGGGGAACGGAGGGGGCCGGGCCTGGTGGCCTCCCCACGCCCTCCTTCCCCCCTTTGTTGTGGTGGGACGCGGCCGGCGGTGAGGGCCCCGGCGGCGGGACGGGGTTTGGGGAGGCCACTCTCCGGGCTCTGTGAGGGGAAGGGGGAAGGGAGGTGGGGGGGAAGGTCGCTGTCACCCTCCCCTTCCCCCCTCCCTTCCCCCCCAGCCGTGCCGCCCACACGCCGGAATAGCCCCCCCAGGCGGGGCGGTGGAGGGTGGGAAGGGCCGGCTTGTGCCTCCCTGTGTGTGTCTGAGGTGGGGGGGACGGGGGGGGAGTAAAGTTCTGCTTCTCCTTCCTCGCACTATCCCCCCGCCCCCCCCTCCTCTTCTCTGGCTGGTCTTTTTTTCTTGCAGAGATCAGGTGTGAAAAACTCCCTGCCGGGGTGGTGGAGAAAGTTAGGAGCAAGTTGCAAAGGAGTTTTCTATCCCTGGAGGGGTTTAAGGCCAGGTTGGAGGGGGCTTGGAGCAACCTGGGCTGGTGGGAGGTGTCCCTGCCCATGACAGGGGCTTGGAACTCGATGGTCTGTAAAGTTCCTTTCAACCCAAACCATTCTGTGAAGTGTTTAGGTTTGCAGACTTCACTTCTGCCACTGCCGATTCTTCTCTTCCTTTCCTCATTCAGAGCCATGGATGTGAGATGCACGCTGCCTCCATGAGACACGTACATGTGAGATTAGTGTCTTTCTTCACATCGTTTGTTTCAGTGCTGTAGCTATCTGTGCACTGGAAGATGTAAACAGATATAATCTGATAACTGTTTCATCTACCTAGATAAGCACATGGGAGAAGTTGTGTTGCGATAAATGCAAATAGCTGGTGTTACTGCAGAGTTGTAGAGTTCCTATTTGAATTTTTTTTTTTTTGTGGGGAGTGCAGGGGAAGAGAAAAAGTGTGACACAGTATGGTCTTTTAGTCTTCACTCTGGGGAAAAAAGGGAAAAAATGTGGGTGAGTGAAGAGCCCATGTGATAGTCTTGGAGAGCTGTTGAATCAAACAGCTGGGATTCAGGCTGCAGCCTAGCCTTATGTCTTTTTGGTTGTCCGTCATGGTTTTTGACTAAAAAAAAAAAAACAAACAACTCGCGTGTTGTGCTCTTTTCAAATACTTTACAAAGAAGTGGCTAGCATTAAGAAAAAGTTTTGCTTACAGGATCTAACAAACAAGTGTTTCTGAAAATGCTGGTAGCGAATGCTGCAACTTGTGTATATTGTGTGTAGAGCTCATGTTATCATAGTTCATGGTTACAAACGAGCCAGATTCCATCTGTAGCAAGAAGTTTATAATGACAGCTTATTAGGAGACCGCACATAACAGCAGGTTTGTCTGTTCTTAAGTGTTCCTCTCTTAGCCTGGAGAGCTGTACTTCCAAACTGATTCATGACATTATTTCTGTGGGGGCTGGACGCTGTAGTGAGAGACTGATTAGTCCTTGCTCTGTTCTCCAGCATGGAAAAAAAAAAAGCCTCTTGTTGTTAAGGGATTCTATTGGCAGAATAAGGTTGCTGTTTAGACTTTCCTGTGCTTTATCTCAGTGTTGGAGCTTGCATGATGCACGAATAGATTTATTTTTGTGTGTGTGTTCTGAGGCGTAGCTTTAAAACTTGAACATTTACAAACTCTAGTGAAGTAGAGAGGAATGACAACGTAAATAAAAGGGAGGTTTTTTTAAGTCCCTTCCCCCCATTTGTTTAGCACTATCATGATGAAAGATAGCATTAGTTACAAATGCCTTTAAAAAGAGGAAGGGGAGGATCTCATTTAAGATGGTTTAAACTTAACTCAAAGATGAGTCTAAGCACATATTTAACAGTACATTGGACCGTTTACTAGAGTAACCTGGTAGTTGATTGTTGTTCTGCAGTTGTTCTGCAGGCTACACCGACAGTCACTGAGATGAACAAAAGTATTTGAAGATCGAGTTCTCTTCATGGAAGAAGCTGATTGTGTGTAATACAGTCTTGGAGAAGAATTTGTCAACTTTCCTGAGGTTCTGTGTGGTGATAAAGAGGAGAGCACAATTGAGAAAATGAAGTTAAAAAGATGGGATTCTTAACTAATCTCCTCTTTTCCTCCACCCAGAAGCTAGTTTCACAAACCAAATCAGTTTGAATTACACACTGAATATCCAAATGAAAGGCCCTCCTGGATCCTCCTCCATCTTCCTGTTCCACCTGATCTTTCAGAAGTGTTCAGCACCAGTTGATATAATTGAGTTTATTGGAGCTCAAAAAAAAAAAAATCTCTGCTACTGAGAGCAACTTTAAAAAACAAAACTTGTTTTCATCTTTCTAATCCCTTTCCCACAAAAGTACTGGGAGAACAGGCTTTGTAGTAGGTTCTGGCTAACAATGAATCTGAGCTGTGCTTGAGACTGAAGAGAATTCTTAAGTTTTGTTTGTATAAAGAACTGTACGCAAAGTTTTAATTATTACAAAAAGTATTCTAGAGTTTTCAAATGTGTTCAAAGCTGCCTTAATGATTGTGCATGTAAATGCCCTGTAATTGAAAGCATCCATTTATGGGCCTGACTTGCTAAGTGAGCTGTAAATTCTGCTTTTCAGATTGGATTTAATGACTTTTATCATAAAGCCACAAACTGGTTGTGAACTGTGCCGAGAGGCAAACAATACCTAAGCTTACTTTGCCAAAATATTTGTAATTGTTGATTTGTTAAACTGAATTGCTGCAGGTCATGCGATGGGATTAGTTTTTTTTTTTCTCTAATGGAATGGAGAGCACAGGCAGCCCTGTGTTCCATACTCTCTGGGCTAGAAGAAATTGGCTACTGCAGAAAACCTCCCTAAGCATTGCTCTCCCCTTCCAGTAGAGAAACTGCGTTACAGACTGTAATACTTCATTCCAGATGACATTTGATTATGATTAAATGTGTTTGACAGCTATAGTGTGAAGTAAGACCAAGAAGAGACTGTGAGAGAGCAGCTCCTGGGTGTTTTATCAGTTCAGTCTGGAGCTTGAGCTTAATTTAATTATGCTGGAGCAACACCAGCTTAACATAAGACACTCTCTGATGCATAGTGAACTCTGCTTGAGAAGAGGGTGGCCTGCTTGAAGAACATTGGTGTTAGGCCTGTTTTGAAAGTGAACTTGCATTAACTAATTGTTAAATGCAACTATTTATGCTTTAACAAAGTGGAGAAACTGGTAAGCTATATAGAAAAAACAGTGAAACAGGTCCTAATAATCAGTTCTGTGAATATTCTGGTCAAATTCAGTCCAGGAGTATTTATTTTTTAAAATAATGAAACACTTGCCTGTCACACCTGGAAAACTAGTCAAAACAAATGAGGTGAGAAGAGCTTAAACTGCTGTGGTTTGGAGTGCTTATTCTGTGCTTTTGCGGGGCTATTAAGGTCTTCTGGTTTTAAGGAAAAGTACTCTTGAGGTTGTTAATAATACGAAGTATGCTGAAGAAGTTTGCTGCTTTTCAGAGACAGGTGGATTGGCCAACTGCAGTTGTGGTCATTTTCCTCTTTTGTAATTCTAGGAGAGTTGCTAAAATACATTGGTCCTATTAGTTTAATCAAAGGTCAGTAAAATTAACATTTCCTCTTTCTAATGTCTCCAGATGCTTGCTGTTTTAGTATACTATGAATGCATGTGTTAATACAGTGTGCTAATTATCTAATAGCATTATAGCTTTTCATTATTGCATTTGTCTGTAATTTGCAGTAGTCCTTAGTAACGGAAGAAACATTGAGCTTCTGAAGCTTTCATGGCATCATGATAGTGCTTATTTTAGTTCTGTGGATGAGAAACATGAGTTTTCTCATTTGATTCATAGTCAAACTTCATAAATGAGTGAGAGGAAAATAGTCTACTTTCAAAGTAGGTGGGTAATTCTGTTTTCAATGAGCCGTATAAAGATAATACAGTTACGCAGAGTTTCAAGATGCATTGCAATACTAGACCTTAATAAATATTAATGTGTAAACTGATTCTGTATATAGGCACGTTGCAAAATCCTCACTCTAAGGCTGACCCAGAGGAAGAATTTTCTTTGCTCCTGCCTTGAACTTCTTCAGCTGGTGTCAAAGCTGCACTGGGGCCTTGGCTTTACTTCTTGGAGCTTTTGGTCTGCACGCTGGCCAGATGGAGACCTGGGCCAGATGGAGCCCCTTGGGAGGGAGATCTTCAGAGCCACTCCCCACTGCTGGCCTAATTGGCTGGAAAGCTGAACTGGGGGCTGGATCTGAGGGCGTTGCTCAGCAGGGCTGGATTCCCCTTCCCCCAGCTTTCCACCCCCCACCTCCCCCAAAGCAAAAAACCCCCAGACACCCCAAAACCACTAAGGGAATACTCGACGCCGTCCTACTCTGACCTGAATATGAGGAGAGAAGGATGTGGGCACTGTTGCAGTTTCTCCTGTTCTTCAGAAAAGTATGTATGTGGCAAGTGGGTTTGAGCTTCACCAGTATGACAAAACTGTGTGTCATGAGTATGCATTTGTAGCGGAAAAAGAAAAAGAATTGGCCCTTCTGGAATCTCGACAGGCAGTTTTTGGAGGGATTGTGGGTGCAATAGAAGTGAAATACCTTGTCTTGTGTGTTCCACGGAGTGCTTTAACTAGAGTGTATTCTGCCTGAAAGGGAAAGGACTGGCTTTGATTTTAGTTTCAACTTCATACACAGTTCAGGTTTCCTGTGAGTTGAGCTCATTAACACTGGGGAGAACTTTCTCAGATTCCGCTTACAATAAACTGTCTGTCTCCTTGTTGTTTGGAATAACACAGCCTAAAGGATCCAGAAGCAGATCATAAATTAGTTTTGTTTTGCTTCTGCTCAATGCAAGATGAAATACTTGTTTTATCATTTCTCTAAGTCTTA